GATGTATTTTAGTCATTTCTGGTTTAGATTGAGATACCTTCCCTTTATAAGTCACTTATCCTCCGCCATTCCCAAGTCAAGGGTTGTATATACTGACCCAATAGCCTATCTTGAAAACTAGAGCCAATCAACAATTTTAAGCATCATTTTCATTCTCAGTGACCCAGAATTAGTAAAGTTTGACTACATTTATTTCAGTAGCATTTTGGCTGTAGAGCAGTGTAATTACAGTTGTAATAATACAAAAGTAAAGGAAAAATATATCTAGTTTAAGATCATCCATAAGAAGTAAAAGCAAGGCCTATACATGTCTGATATATAGGTAACTGGCACAACCAGTATGTTTCTGTTAGTGTATCCTGTCACCAAGGATTATGACTTTGGGAATAAAACGATGAATATAATACTATAATTACAGGATTTTGATGCTTACATTATATCCCCTCTTAGTCATCTCTTTTCCAACCTTAAAAATCCCAGTCTTTTTAATCTCTCCTCAAATAGAATCTGTTCCTTATCTCTAATCATTTTGGTTGCCCTTCTCTGTACCTTTTCCAATTCCAATATATCTTTTTTGAGATGGGGGCAGCCAGAACTGCATGTAGTATTCAAGATGTGGATGTACTATGGATTTATGTAGTGAAAGTATAGCAGCTTCGTTTGCGAGACCAATCAGCAAAGCCAATGCTGACAAAAATATGTGAAAAGGCTGCAAAACACCAAGCCTATGGACTGCATCGACGTGCAGAAAGTCTTATAAGCCAGTCACTGTCAAAGCCAATTTTAGAAGTACTTAATGAGGCTGTTAAGTATGCTGGAGACACAACACAGTATATATGAACAAACAGAGCTGTTGCATCATGCTTTCTATTTAAACAAGAGATACCACACGCTACAAACTGGAGGCCAATGTTAAGTGCATTGTCATTTATTAATCTTGAAGTGGACACTGGATCCAAACAAGACCGGCAAATGCTCACTATCTTTCGCAAGGAACTCAACTGACTGACTAGAAGCATGTGGTGCAACAGCAAAAGACTCAGTCATTGAAAAAGTGAAGAACTCTCACCACATTCAAAAACAGAAAATTAACAGAGCTGCGCAAGATTACAAGAAACCAGGAAGGATGTAGATATGTAGGGCTTCACAGTAGGCTTGAGGAGCCAACTTTAATTTGTATGATTTTAAAACATGAGTAAAATCTAATAAAATGGTCATGAAACATTTTTCAGTTTTTACTGTGGGTCCATACAGCACACCTTTGCCCTCCTGGTAGGCCTTTACCTCCCTGTAAATTTGATTTTCCCCTCCCGCCCTTCAGTTCCTGGGGAAAACATTGATCTAAGGAAAATGTAAACTTCACCTTATTTGTCTATCAAACCCTTTGCAATATGAGCAGCCAGCAGTGGCCGCAGTTTTGATGGGGGGGATACTTATAGAAGGAAGAGGCAATGTTTACTGATATTCTATAAAATGAACATCATTTACAGCTTCTGGAGTCTATGAATCCATAGCAATCAATACAGATATGAAAGACCCCTATTATATGCATACATAACAACGGCCATACTGCATCAGACCAAAGATCCATCTAGCCCAGTATCCTGTCTTCCAACAGTGGCCAATGCCAGTGCTCCAGAGGGAATGAACAGAACAGGTAATCATCCAGTGATCTGTCCCCTGTCACTCATTCCCAGCTTCTGGCAAACAGAGGTTGGGGACACCATCCATGCTCATCCTAGCTAATAGCTATTGATGGACCTATCCTCCATGAACTTATCTGGTTCTTTTTTTTTATGCTGTTCTGTTATTGGCCTTCACAACATCCTCTGGCTAAGAGTTCCACAGGTTGACTGTGCGTTGTGTTAAGAATTTGAAGAAATACTTCCTTTTGCTTGTTAAAACCGGCTGCCTATTCATTTCATTTGGTGCCCGCATTTCTTGTGTTATGAGCAGTAGTAAATAACACCTCCTTATTTGTTTTTTTCACACCATTCATGATATTAAAGACCTCAGTCATATCCCTCCCCCGTTTATTAGTCTCCTTTCCAAGCTGAAAAGTCCCAGTCTTACTATCTCTCCTCTGATCTAGTGATATAGTGCCAGCTGATGGCATCAATAGGATTTTTACAGGCAGCAAGTAATTGTCCAAGTTATTTGATTAAAATGACAATGCCCCTTTCATTTTATGCCTTCTTCAGAACAGCACCTCCCCCATTTAATGACACGGTTCGCAGAGCAAGGAAGGCAAATTGTTGGCTCTTGATTGAGATTCTGGTCTGAATTCTTGTCTTTTCTGCCAACTGCTGAAGGCCGCTGATGCAGATTTATTCACTGTCGGACTCCAAAATGCAGAAGAGAAACCACGATCCCATTTACGGAGCGTGACTCCTTTACGCAAAAGCTAAATATTATTAAAGACAATGGACATTTCCCCAATCCGCTGCTGCGATACTAAATATACTGCTAGTGGAGGATTTTCACATGCACATATGCAATCCAGTGACATAACTACGCAAGAGGAATGTGATGGGACATTAAATATATACATTACTTCTCTATGGCTTCAAGTTCATTTTTCTTGTTTCTCTCATGGCCTGCATTGCCATAAAATATATAAGATAAAAATATCAGGAGAAAGATAGGTTTGCTTCTTCCAATTGCAATGGGAGACCCATTTTGTCGAATAACTGTGTAGCTGCCAAGACGAGATCCTTTCCCCACAATTACCTATATGATGCGTTCTTAATCACTGGGTGGATCCTAGATTTACTCTAGGACACCGTAATAGAAAAGGGAATAATAGATTTAGGGATTCCCAAAATATTGTAACTTTGTAGACGAAAGAGAAGCGATTGGACGTGTGACAGACTTGCAGTAACTTGTTTACTTAGTTAGCTGTGAAGAATAAAAGTATTGTCATATGAGAGAAGAAACTGTGGTGAGGAAGGATCACAATTCAATATACTATTATATTATTTTGCAACTCTCCATCTTCTCTAATCGGTAATAATCTGCCTTAATATTTCACAGTTTTCACTGTGAAATGTTATAACCACAATTTATACTTAATAGAGAAAACTTTGCTATGCAACTGCACATAGTAAGTTTAAAATGTAAACATCATGGGATGTCTTATTTTAGCTGAGCCACAAGGTGGCGATATTAGCAAAGACGGTGCTGAAAACGCAGTCTTTCGGACTCCGTCGGCACTCAGTGGAAGCTGTACTCGGACATCTGGATCCAGACGGCAACGGCTCTGCGCCGGGAACGGGTGGCAAAGGATTACAGGGAAAGGGCAACTGAATAATTATAAATAAAGTCAATATTGGAGGACAAATCGTTTCCCCTCTAGCACAACATATGAATGGCTGCAGCAGCTTTGCAGAGAGGCCTGTGTTTCAGATCTGACCCGGGAATGGCTGGCGGAATGGAGAATCGCTCCAGGAAAAGGCAAGTTCTGTCTTTCTTTCTGTGTTTGTGTGTGTCCCTGGGGGCGTGTGAGACGATCCGCTATTCTGTGCCCGAAGAGAAGAAAAGTGGGTCCCTAGTTGCTAATATTGCAAAGGATTTGAAACTGGATGTAGGGAAATTGTCTGGTCGCAGTGCCCGGCTGATTTCTAAAAGCACCAAGCAATATTTTGATCTGAACACACGCTCCGGGGATGTGATAATAAAGGAGAAAATAGACCGTGAAGATCTGTGCGGACAGAGAGATCCGTGTTTGCTGCAATTCGAAATTGTGTTGGAAAATCCACTGCAGCTGTACAGAATGGAGGTGCAGATATTTGATGTGAATGACAATAACCCTAAATTCTCCAAAAATGAATTCGTTTTAAAAATACCTGAACAGATCCCCATAAACACCCGCTTCCCCTTGGAGAGAGCCCAAGATTCAGACATAGGAACAAACGGCGTCCAGACTTATGCAATCAGCTCCAATGAGCACTTCAGTCTGGATATGCATTCCCGGGGCGACGGCAGTAAATACGCGGAGCTGGTATTAGAGAAACAATTAGATCGGGAGAAGCAGGCGCAGCTGATGCTGATTCTCACAGCTGCCGATGGGGGTCTGCCACAGAGAACCGGCACAGCGCAAATACGCGTTAATGTGCTGGACAACAACGATAATTTCCCGCAGTTTAGTCATTCGGTGTACAAGGTGCAGTTAATGGAAAATAGTCCGCGAGACACTTTGGTCACTAAGGTTGAAGCCAGTGATTTGGATCAAGGTTCAAATGCAGAAATCTCCTATTCATTCGGGCAAGTACCTGACAGAGTTCTCCAGTTATTTCAGCTAAATCCGTCCACTGGCGAAATCACTGTTTTGAGGATAATTGATTTTGAAGACGCAGCAATGTATGAAATAGAAGTTCAGGCCACGGATGGCGGGGGGTTTTCTTCGCACTGCAAAGTCCTGGTGCAAATCGAGGACATGAATGACAACGCTCCGGAAGTGACGCTGACATCCCTCACCGGCACCATACCCGAGGACTCCGCCCCTGAGTCAGTGGTGGCCCTGTTCAGTGTGAGAGACCGAGACTCCGGGGACAATGGCAGAACGCTTTGCTCCATTCAGGACAATGTCCCTTTTGCTTTGAAATCGACTCTGAAGGATTATTACGAGCTTGTTACACAAAAGCCCCTGGACCGGGAGAAAGTGCCTGAGTATAACATAACCATCACAGCCACAGACCGGGGGACTCCGAGGCTCACCTCAGTGAGGATCATCCGAGTTCAGCTATCGGATATTAATGACAACCCCCCTCTATTTAATGAAAGTTCATACGTCATGTACCTGAAGGAGAACAACCACCCGGGCCTGCTGATTGGAACTGTCCGTGCTGCTGACCTAGACACAGAGCAGAATGCCAAAGTGACGTATTCGGCATTGCCTGGCAACATCGGTGACCTCCCCTTCTCCTCCTCCATCTCCATAAACTCCGAAAACGGAAACGTGTACGCTCTGCAGTCTCTGGATTATGAGCAAACGAGGGATTTCCAGGTTACAGTGAGAGCTGCAGATGGCGGATCCCCTCCTCTGAGCTCTGAAGTCATTGTCCGAGTTGTGATAAATGATGAAAATGACAACGCCCCCTTAATTTTATACCCTCTGCAGAACAG